GGGCGACGTCCGCTATGCCCAACGACGCCCACAACCTGGTGCGCAACCAAGACGATGCACGTTGTTCTTTACTTCAAGACCATAGATAAGGCAGCGGACCTGTTGAGAGGATCTCAAGAGGAGGTACGCTGGCGCAAGGACCGCCATGTCCTCGGACCTAGCTCTCGAACCTCAGACTGTCGGGCGCCACGCAATAAAAACGAATCAAATTATGGAGGTACATGCATTTCGGCCTCCGGAATGCCTCCGGAAAGCAAACGCTTTTCATTGGCTATAAATCAAGCAATTTTTAGCGCCATGGACCTGCTCCATTGCCATTGGCTTTTCCATTTTTTCAACTTTGAAACCCCCTATTGTAATAGCAGTCCTGCAGAAGCCAACTGGGATGTCTTGGTGCGGGACGTTCTCTGGCCAGATTATTGCTTGAACACTCGCATCGTTTGATTGGCTAAAAATTATTGTGGCAAGTTGCGACCGTTTAAGCCGTGCAGGTTTAACCTGCGTTAAACGCAAAACGAGTGGCAGTGGTCATGACCCATGTTGTGGCGCACTGGCCATTTCCCTGACAAGAGCTTTCAACCCAAGACACCTTGACCAACTACGGTACGAGGCGACCATTCATGCATACATGCTCCAGAGGAAGAAGCCCAAAATATAGCTCGACGTTCCGACCAGTGTTCCGACGGTGCTCCTGGTCTTGGTTGGGACCATCTGCCTCTGTGGACGCCGCCATCGTGCCATTGCCGTCCGCGCCAGCAGGTCGGACCGCGTAACAGACAACCAGCAACAACCATTCCTGCAGCCTCTCAAACAGCACTTGGGATCCCGAGTAGCCACGTACAGATCTTGACGCGGCCACAGGACAGCCCAGAGAAAGGCGTGGACCTGCTGGTTCTATCGTACCGTGCTTCTGCTAGAAGCCACCACCATCAACCATGCATGAGCCGCGAGTAACCGGCCTGCTGGCGTGCGCAGACATCCACTCGTATCTGGGTCGCAGCCGCCGTCGGACAAGGTGCATACAAACTTCAAGATCGATTTTCCGACGGCGGCGCTCGCGGCTTCTTGCCAGTTGGCCATTCTGCGATTTCGCTCATGGTCGCACTCGGTGTCTTCAAGCTTACGTCGTCGGCGATCATCTTTGGCCTCGCGCTCGGCGGCGGCCTCTTCCCTCTCTACTGCGTGCGGCCCAACAGTGCCGTCCACAGCATCCTCAACATGGCGGCCGGCGGCATCTTCCTCGCCGGCTCCTTTGTGCATTTGCTGCCGGACGCGCTCGAGAACGCGCCGCTCGCTGCCCTCGGATGTCCCTCGACCGCGACCGTGTGCTTTCCGTTTGCATGCTTCTTCTACGGCCTCGGCTTTGCACTCATCTTGCTCGTCGAGGGGGTGGCGCATGCGGCGAAGGACAGATTTCTGCCGCACTCGCCGGTCTCGGCGTCCGAACTGCTCCCGCTGCACGTCAAGACGCACACGGACCACGACGACGACGTGACGCACGCGCACAGCCACAACATCCTCGACACGCCCGACACGACGGCGGCCTCGCTCGCGATCTTTGTCGCCTTGTCCTTTCACTCGCTCATGGAGGGCATTGGCATCGGCGCGGCGCCCGAGTCGGCGTGGAACCTCCTCCTCGCGATCGTCGCGCACAAGTCGCTCGCGGCCATGGCGCTGACGCTGGAGCTGCAGCACCACAACGTGTCGGCTGCCAAGATCGTGCTGAGTCTCGCGATCTTTGGGGCCATGTCGCCAATCGGGATTGGCCTCGGGTATGTGCTCGCGGGGGCCAACCCGGCCGAGTCGCTCGCGAGCGGTATTTGCACGGCGCTGGCCGGCGGCACCTTTTTGTATGTGGGGGCGATGGAGGTCCTGCCCCAAGAACTCCGCAACAGAGAGCAGTTGGGCCTCAAGCTCACGGCTTTCTTTATCGCATTTGGGCTCTTTGCCGCGCTCGCGCTCTGGGTCTAGTGACGTTCGCTCGTATTTCAATTTTCTATTCCCCACACTTATTATCTAACACGTTGGCATCAATTATATCCTATCGTATATCTTTCGGTCTTGTCACTGTGTCGTTCGCTGGCTTGGTCTACAAGATACTGGTCCGACGTTCGCACATGAAAAGACTAGTTGGTTTCGTTGGCTAAAGCTAGGCTTCTTCGCCAACGACACGGAGGGGGCCGATGCTCGCAGTCTCGAAAGCGACCCTCGCTGTGGAGCTGGAGGCTTCTTGCGCCGTCATGTTAATGTCGCCCATGGTAGCCCATACGCAAGTATCGAGATGGATGCACGCTGTCTAGCCGTGGCCGTGGTGCGACCGGCGCTTCAACATGCGGAAGCTGATCGTGTTCTTATTTGCATCTAACGTGTACCTCGAGAGAAGCCCACGGCCCAATGCAACATAATGGCGACTCTCGATACCAAAAAGCAGACCTCCTAGCTTGATACCCTTTCGGAAAATCAGCAAATGAGGGTGGCCAAATGCAGCGTTGGACCATTTTTCTTCCAATGCGGGCCCTGCGCGAATGAACCATTGCCGTCGATGGGCGCAGGTGACAGCCCCCGACCAGGCCAAAGCAACGACGCAGCTCCACGAAGAGCTCCGGCGCCGCGCAAGATGATCTTCAGAGACTCTGTCAGCAACTTGCTGCCTCCGAGAGCGCTCCACAAGCCGTGGGGACCGCTCGTGCGGAAGCACACCTCGTACGTTTTTACGTCCAGCCGACGAGCGTCCCAGCGCCGATGCATTCCAATACTGGCGTCGGGAGTAGTGCCACTTTGCACAATCACCGGCCAGCTCCTACTGCGCCCAACCTACCCTCTTCAAAGTTGACAGGCAATCCGCGTACCCAGGCCTCGGCGCCGGTCATCTCTGCGACTTAGAGCGCCATGGAGTGCGACGTTGTGGTCAACCACTCGGTCTGGACCGACGAGCACCGGTACCGTCCGTGTGGGTCAAGAGAAAGCGACTGGATCGCCTGCAAGAGCACCTTTGATCTCGTCGACCAGCTCCAGCTTCAGTGCGACACGGTACGATGAACTCATACGAGAGCCCAAGCGGTACCGTGTGACGTGGAGCGAACGCATGCAGTGTGTCGTACAGCCTGAACACGGATCCCCAGCAGATGCAGCTCGCACGAAGGGATGCGATCAACCAGCGCTTGTCAAACAAGAGCAAAAATTGTCTGCGTCTGCTGCTGACTTGATGCGGTGTATCCTCCAAAACACCTTGGTGCGTCGACGTCTCTCCAGGGTCGAATACCGTGCGTCGGCTCGGTACATATATGGGTGCAAGGGAATGGTCATTGCAAGGTGGAGTGTTCAACACATAGCATTACTTATTCGCACTCTTGGCTTAAAACATCCAGCCGCGGACAAGCGCCTCCAAGATGGAGAGGATCTTGCTCTTCTTGTGGGGCTCCGTCGTGTTGCCCGTCGCGTTGGCGGCGACCGAGGCTGTAACGACCGGGACCGTCGTGGCATCAACGACCGTCGTGGCCGGGGCGGCCGTCGTCGCCACCGTCGTCGTCGCAGCGACCGTCGTCGTGGCACCGGCCACCGGCGCGAGCGTCGCCGTCGCGTTCGTCTTGGGCAGCGGCATCTTGGTGACGAGGTTGACGCGGCGCGTGAAGTTCATGTTGGCGAAGACGGGCTTGAGCGTGTTGTTGAGGAAGTACAGGCCGAAGTAGTTTTCGACTTCAGCCGTCGTGTTGTCGCCCTCGAGGTGGCGCCACGGCGTGTCGTACGACGTGTACCAGTAGTAGTCCCACTGCACGTCCTTGGCGAGGAAGTAAAAGTCGTTGAGCCACGTCGCCCCCGTCGACGGCGTCGCGATCGACGCGCCGTTGGACGTGCCGTTGGTCGCCCACCCCGTCTCGGAAATCAAGATCTTCTTCTTGTACTTTTGGGCCGAGAGCATGAGCGGGTACATGCGGTTGTACATCTTCTGCGCCGCCGTCTCGGCGACGGCGAGCTCCCAGAACGGGAACGAGTTGGCCGAGACGATGTCGACGGCCTTGACGAGCTGCGGGTACTGGATGTACGTGTCGGCAATGTCCGTGATCGTGATCGGAATGTACACGTCGGCGGCGTTCATGATGGAGCGGATCTCGTTCATGTCGGCGATGGCCGTCGAGACGTTGATGTCCTTGCGGTAGATGGCTTCGGACGCGACGTGGAGGCCGAGCGTCTGGTTGTTGACGTTGCCGTTCTTGAGCTGCTTGACGAGCGACGCCTTCTCCTCCGCGTAGACCGTGTTGTTGGGGCCGACCCAGAGACCGACCCAGATGCTCATGCCGGCGCGGCGCACGGCGGGGATGACGAGGTCGGCCGTGTTGCAGTCCGTCATCGAGTAGATGCGGATGCGGTCCGTGATCTTGCGGAGCTGCACCATGTCGCGGTCGATCTCGGTCGCGTTCTTGCAGCGCTTCTTGAGCGAGAAGTAGTCGGGGCCCTTGCGGGGCGTGTAGTTGATACCGTACAGCTTCTGGTCGAGGGCCTCGACGGCCGTCGCCGCGAAGAGCACCGCGAAGAGGAGGGCAACCGTGCGCATCTTGGAGCAAAAACAATTGTGAGTCGTTGGCGCCGCAGTCAGTACATATCATCCCACCGTATACATTGGCCCAACCAAACGAGGGGCCGCCAGCCATTGCGGGCTGATCGAACCGAGCGCCAGCTGCGCGACGCCACCCCAAGCAATTGACCTCGCGCCAATCAGAGCCCACCCGAGGTGCGACATGCCGTCGGATCGGTGGCGATGACTTGGTCGTCGTATGCCCGACGGCCGAACCAGCCACAGCGATGTGCACGGCGGGCGGTTGACACGGTTGCGACGGCGACGTTGGGAGCGCGTTCCGGGCCGGCGCTCGCCCGCCCCACGTGAGTTTGCCCTTTCACGACTTTGCACTTTGCTGACCGGGGCGCCGCTTGGGCGATTGGGCGCTCGGTGCTGCTCGAGGCGCCGCTACGAACGTAGCGACGACGGGCGGGGCGACGCCGCAGATATCACTCGACGTGCACTTTTTATTGGACGACAATGAAAGTTCCAAAGGTGATAGCAAGAATCCACCCCGCGGTGTCGGATTCCTTGCGCCGAGTCGCTGCAGCACGAAGCGAGGGCCGCCCAAGCTGCCGCAGTTTGTATGGGCCGCAGCAACAGCAGCGTGCGATACCTCCGACGCGCAGTCTCCAGACGACTTCTTCTCACATATACACGACTTCTACTGGTCGTCGGCCTCAACGAATCCGCGACCGAATCCTGAACAAGCCATTTTGCCCATCATCGATGAATCTCAGCGGCGTATGAGTACACAGTACTCATCGGGCAGTTGTTGGGGGTCGAGAAGAATGCATCTTCCGTCGCCGCGGACTGCCGCGGACAAGGTCCCTCATTTGGTTCTGCTTGTGGTTTCCTCACCTCGGAAGATTGGGCGGTCGTGGGACAGCCGGTTTGTTGACGAGCAGGAACGAACTCATCAGTGTCTCTGACTTTTGCCCGTCGGACCTTTCGCCTCGGCGGCAGTTCTTGGGTGCGCTGCCAGACGAGGTGCGCTGACGAGTCGGCCATTCGTATCTCTGTGTCAACATGGACCGCGTTGCCGTGTCTATGCACGGTCTTCATCATCATACCAGTGGACCTGAAACGGCCGCGAAACGCCTCCGACAGTAACCGCGCCGTCCCGTCTACCCCGGTACACGAGTCGGCGAGTCTCGAGGCTATCGAGGGCCACCACCTCAGTAGTCGTAGTGCACACTGCGTGAGAGCAGCTATCTCCAGCGAGGTTCCGATGGCCCGACTCTCATCCGCCGCGTACCATCCATAGTATCGATGCGCCTTCGTTGTAGGACGCGCCGATGGCATGTCCCTGCTAATAATACGAGCCAAGAACGATTCTCTGAGCGGACTCCATCCTGCGTGTGCGATGCTGCGGAGGTCGGCTCACTTCGCTCCGCATGCGCTTGACGTGTATCCGGAGGCGCAATCGCCGCGCTGATTGGCCAAAAAAGATGGAAATCCTGGCGCATCACGACTGGTTTGGACGATTGCGATGATGCGAACCGCTGCTGCTCGGCTCGTCACGTCCGTGGCGGCGACGGCCCGCCCAGCCTCCGCCGCTGCGGCCCGCACCTTGAGCAGCGCCGCCGCCGGCAACGCTCCGTGGTACCGCGTCGAGATCTCGGGCTTCCTCTCGACGCTCAGCGAGACAACGGCGAATGATGCCGACTATGCGCGGCTCGCCGCCCTCCCGCAGCGCGACGACGTCATGGCCTATGAAGTTCAAGTGCTCAGCGACTCGGTGCAGCACCTGGGCACGTACCTGCCAGCCTCGCGCAAGAAGCAGATCGAGACCCTTTGGGCCAAGACGCTCGGCGTGCTCGACACGATTGACGACGCCGCCGCCAAGGCAGACGCGTACACGGCCGCGTTCCAGGCGCTTGCCGTCGCCAACGCGCCGAGCAAGTACATGGAGCACCTCCTCAAGCGCATGCAAGGCGAGCACCTTACGGCGAACCCGACGATCCACATCGCGATGCTGCACGCCGCCCGCGACCGCAGCATCCTCCAGGTCCGTCCTTCCTCCCACCCGTCATACCCTCACTCCCGATGTTCAGGTGCTTCGCCGCGTCAAGGCCGCGCAGATGGGCGCGGTCCTCCTCGACGCCGAGGCCACGCCGCTGAGCCCGCGCGAGGTGCAGAACCTCCACTTCCGCGCGCACGCGTCGTTCGTCAAGTCGCTCTACGCCGAGTTTATGAGCTCGACGACCAAGACGTTTGCGCTCGAGTCGTACGCGGAGCTGCTCAAGGAGATTGCGGCGCTCTTGCCGCCACTCGACGACAAGCTCATGGAGCGCACCGTCCCGGACGAGTACATGGACAAGCTCGCGGCCGTCTCGGTGCGCGCGCTCGCGATGACGGGCCGCCACGCCGACGTGCTCACGCGGCTCGACGCACTCGAGGCGCAATACGCGGGGCGCAGCGCCAGCGTCCCGCAAGCCGTGTACCTCGCTGCCATCGAGGGTCTCTCGGCCGCGTACCACAACCTCACCATGGTCTCGGAGCGCCAGCTCCGCACGCGCAACCAGGTATATCTACATTGTCTCGACTCGAACGAAGTTGTCATTTGGTCTGTAGACCGAAGACGTGCAGGCGGCGCCGAGCGTGCGGCGGCTGCAAAAGGTCCAAGCGGCGCTCGAGGCCACGTTGTCGAGCAAGGTCGACAACATTGCGTCCGAGATGGCCGACCTGCCGTGGGCCGACGTCCAGGACCAAGTCGCCGACGCCGAGGCCGCCAAAGAATACATCCAGTACGCGCTTCGCACCTCACGAGTCTCGACTCGAATGCGTTCGTAGGTTTGTGCACCAGCGTGTGCGTGGCGCGAGCGTCCTCGAGAGCTTCCGCCTCCTGACGCAGGACGCGATGGCCGCTGGCGACGCGTTCGTCGGTGCTGTCGCCACCCGCTACGCCAAGAGCTACCCCGAGGCGTCGATCGCGCTCGAGACTGCGATCCTCAAACAGTACTTTGTTGCTGCCTCACGCTACGAGCGCCGGCTCAAGCGCAGTGGTCTCTTTGCCGACGCGCTCGTCGCACGCGTCTTCTCCACGCTCGACGCCATCGCTGGCCGCCAATCGACGGTGCCTGAAGCCGACGTCGTCGACGCGCTGCACTACGCCTTCCGCGCCCTCGCGTTGCTCTACCGCCTCCCCGAGGCCCGCCGTGTCTTGGAGATGAAGAGCGCGTGGTTCCCGTACCTGCAGCCGACCGTGGCCGAGTACGACGACCTCATCATGCTTTTGTGCGCGACCAAGACGACGCGCATCGCGGAGCCTCTGGCGCTGCTTCAGGACATGCACAACCGCGGGCTCAAGCCGACGCCGCTGACGCTGCACCGCTTCGTGACGTTCCGCATGCTCGCGCTCACCAAGGGCGACGACGAAGGTCACGTGGTCAACGAGAAGCAAGCGGCGCTCACCCGCCGCCTCCAGCGGTCGCTGGACGGTCATGACGACAGCGAGGGCGAGGACGACGACAGTGACGACGAAGACGACGACGAGGACGAGCCGGCCAAGCCGACATGGGATGACGTGAGCCTGAGCGACCAAGACAGCGTTGCGGACGTCATTACGTTTCTGCAAGACTGGCACAACATGACGGGCGTCGTGCCGTACGGCAAGACCGTGGTGCCGCTTCTCGAGTACTGCGCGGCCAAGCCGAGCCTCAAGTACGAGCTCTCGCGCTTCGTGCTCTGGCTGCAGACGCTTCCGCTCGATGCTGCGACCAAGACGCTTCTGCGTCCGCATGAGAAGACCACCAAGTAGACGCCCATACTATAGACCCCTCCTTCATAGAACCTTCTACATTGGGACTTGATTGAACTTTTTGCATCTAAGAACTCTGTTGGTGGTGCACGAGGAGAAAGGATCATCGACCGAGTCGACTCCCATCGAAGCCACCGTTTTTCCCCAATATCCAATATTGATATGCAGTGCAGTAGTCGACCACCAAGTCGTCAGGCGACATTAGAATCTGGTGGACGACGGTGTCGATCTTCGGGCTCTCTGGCGATGCCCTGCACAGTGGGACGCGCGCGTGTGACGAGGGTGCGGTGTTCGGTCGGCTTGCGCATGGCAGCCAGTCGAGGACCACGTAGGCACGTGACCCTCGTGGCAGCCGGTTTGCAACGCACTCCAGCCGCGCGCTCAAGCTGTGACGTGGAGTAAACGGCGCCTTCGATACGCAGCAAGAAAGCTGGCTTGTCGCGGGCCTCGGATTCCGTCGGCGCCTTGGCCCGGGCTCTCTTGGGCTTTGTATGCGGCGGGGACCTTGGCCGCGCGCCAAATCCGGCAGTGGGACACCCGCGTTGAAGCCGTGACAGCGACGGGTTCAACATCCGCCATACAAACAGCAAGACGTTTGTACCCAATGCATACCAGCACGTATGCTCGGTTGCACAAACACTTTTTTTATTCCAGCCGACGCCAGTCATTTGACAATGGCCCTCGAGCCGACCAAGTGCTCGTACGACGCCTGCGCGCGCTTCGCGAAGGAGAAGAACCTCTGCCTCACGCACCACCGGTGGATGCTGCAGTACCTCTCCAACGCCTACATGAAAGACCACGCGGCGCCGACGGTCCTCGACCCCAAGATCCAGCGCATGAACCCCAACCGCAAATGCAAGGCCGACCAGTGCTGGTCCTACGCGCGCACGGGCGGCTACTGCACCATGCACGGCGGCGGCCGCAAGTGCAAAGTACGCAACTGCCACACGGCATCGCAAACCGGCGGCTACTGCCGCACCCACGGCGGCGGCTCCAAATGCCGCGAGCCGCGCTGCGCCGACTTTGCGCGGCTCCGGGGCCTCTGCCTCCAGCACAACCTCGAGGCCGAGCGCGCCGGCCGCCTCCCGCCCGCGCCCGAGCTCGCCCAGACAGCGTAGCAAGCATAGCCCTAGAGTATTTAACAAGCGCAGGTAGAGCGGTCGATTCAAAGTGTTCCGCATGCGACAGGCGGTGACCAACGCAGATTGGCCAATGAGAAGCGCGCTCGGAACGTGGCAGCGTGAAAAAGCAGCATGTGTGAAAAACACGTGAAAATCGCGCATTAGCGGCTACTACTGCTACGTGATTGCGCAATGCGTCCTTCAAGGTACGACAAACTCAGAGCTAACTCAGAGGCGGCGACTTGCCGCCAATAGGAAGGAGAGTCGAAGGCACACGCCCACGGAGTAGCGAGGCGGCGATGTGTGGAGCGCGAGAAACTCGTCGCTAGTTGCACCCAAATCCACGTCAACTAAGACACGATAAGCGACAAAGCAGAACGGTTCTTCAGCTCGGCGGGACGTCTTGGGTGATACCGAGGGTACAAAGGTCGACGACGTGTGTGTTCGTTTGGCACCCAATGACGGCCCGCTAGCGATGAGTCCCAGTTGACAGTTGACCAGCGATCCTCGCCTGTGTACGTGTGAATGATACATGCGCGAGCTACAGACTGTAGCTCTATCCATGTCGACTCGACAATCGCTTCCCGGCGCAACGAAGCAATGACTACGCACGGGGCGTGTCCAAGAAGTGCAAGTGGTTTCCGCGCAAGTCCGAGCGAACTGGACGACCAAGATCCAGGCGCAGAGCAAGCGAGCTCAAGCCATGGCCAAACTGGTAGTGTTAATCGAATAACTACCTTGCCTCGCCCACCCCTGGCACGACGGCCACCAACACGGGTGGTGCCCCAAGTAGTGCGGTCTTGCTTGAGGATGGTAGACCTCCGAATGTGCTCGTGAGGCAGGCAGTTGCGTGGAGCGAGTGGTCTTGCTGCGGGATTGTGTGAAGCCCGTCGCTGCGCCGACCTCGGGTCACAAATCGTCCATTGCTCCTCGACGTTACGCGCTTGCGTTTTGGCGTTGTTGTTTTTGAAGGCGGCTACTATGGCGCGCTTGCACGACCAGTACTTGACTCGAATCGCTCGCCGCGACGAGCTTGTTTTGCGCGATACAAGCAGCTCCCCATCCCATCCGATTGGATCCCAATCCGGCGTTTTGATTGGACAACGCACTGCGCGGGGTAGGCCTTTCCATGGCCCCAAAGTACTTGCAGCAAGCTCTATACTCGCTTCTTGTCAACGGTGCAGCGCAAGTAGCGTCCATGCTTCGCTGTGCCACTTCTTCTAGACGCAAGAGACTCACAGTATGTGGAGCGACCGCACGAGGCGCCGAGCAGTGTCCCTACCGAGCGTGGTTGCCGGACGTGTAGAAGGCGTGCAGAGCGCTAGAAAATTGTGCTTGAGCGGCAACTGCAGACAGGCGTATCGTCCGACCTCGTGTCCACTCTGGCGCCAGAGAAGTGCCCGAGAGCCGGACGCTTGCATGATGATAACCTCTCTCTTTTGATGTTCCATGCGATATGTATACCATCACCGTCGTCTTCAACATCTCATTCGACGGCCATTGGATTTACGGTGCTAATGCGGCGTCTGCATCTGCGCATGGGTGCTGCGTCGAGACAGACATCCCCCACGCGACAGCAACGTCCGCTCAGACTCGGTGTACGTCGCATCGCTAGACACTCCTCGACGAGCCAAGGACACAGAGAATGAGCGAGGCGGTGCTAATAGCACAGTGTTGGAATCGTGGAATTGTAATACCGTGCAGGGGCTTTGTATGCGTGGGTGCATACAAAGAGTATGTTTATTTTTCTGTCGCGTGCATGGCCGTACAGTGTAAATTTACAGTGGATAGGCCATGACGAGAGAAATATTTCGAGCTCGTGTCGCGCCCAGGTGGCTCGTGACGCGCCAAGCACCCTCTGCGGGCAAGCGCCCTCGGATGCTGCGTCTACCCAGAGCGAGCTGCGCACAATGTCGCGAACTGCACCGAGTGTGCAGCACGCAGTCATGCACGCTGCCTATCACTGCGCTAACGTGAATGTAACAAGCGACACTGCCAAGTCTGTCGAGTACAAGTGCTAAATAAGAATCAAATTACAATAAAAACTAGGGTGCATCTAGGCGTGCACGGGGAAGAGCATGGGCGCGTCGTCGGGCTTGATGGCTTCACGCCCGCGGTTGTGCTGTAGGCAGAGGCCGCCGATGCGGGCAAACTGAGCGCAGTTGGCGACGCGGCAGCGCGAGCCGCCGCCGTGCAGCCGGCAGTAGCCGCCGGTTTGCGACGCGGTCGAGCAGTTTTCGAACCGGCACTTGCGGCCACCACCGTGGCGCGTGCAAAAGCCGCCGCTGCGCGCGTACGAGAGGCAGTGCTCGGTGCGGCACTTGCGGTTACGGTTCTTGAGCTTGAGCTTCGGGTCGGCGCCGAAGCGCGGCGAGCTCGTCATGGTCGCACTCGTGGTCGGCGACGAGACAGCGGCGGGCGGCGTCGGGTGGACCCACCGAAAGTGCGTGAGGCAGAGACCGCTCTGCTTGGCGAACCGGTCGCAGTGCTCGTAGTTGCAGTGGCACGGCGCCATCATCGTATCGAGGTGGTGGTGGTGGTTGGCGTGAAAATTAGAAATGGCAGTGGCGGGCGCAACCTTATCGCCATGTGGGTGGATAGTTTCGCGCCAGCTGGGCGTGTATGTTGGGGCCGCGTTCGCTTCTGTTCCAATCCTGCATTACACCTGCCGAGACAGAGACCAACTTGCGCGCGGATTTATTAATTCAATAATCTATATTTTATTTCAACGCACCGCACGGGGTGAACGGTGGGACCAACGCTTCCCATCTCGAGTCCACTTGCAACCTTGGTCGTGTCGGCTCAAAGCGCTGCGCGATATTCTCGCACGAGCTAGCTGACCACGAACGAGGCTTCGGCAGAGGCAGGATACAAGCACGGTATCCGATTCGGTGCTTTGCGCGCGTACGTGACGCGTATGCGTATTTATTTTATTTATCGAAATATTAAACGTTGTCGGGTGCAACAAATCGACGCACCGTCACCACCCGGTGGCGCTTACTTGTCGCCGCATACACGCCCCGTGGCCACTCGTTTTTTCGTATTTCACAGGAGCAGGATCGTAGATTGACAGACAAGTTTCGCAGACCCGGCCGCGCGGGGTTGTGCATCGCCGCCAGGCACGGGATCGGCGCGTTCGACTCTCGTCGCCACCAGCAACAGCGGCTTGCGATCGCGATGATAGCTGGTGCTCGTACACAGTGGGTACTGGTCGCCAGCGTTGGACATGGGGACTCATGGCGGCTCATTTTTCTGCTGCAGAGACGGCCGCGTGACGCGCCCACGAGACGCTAATTACCCACTTCCCGTCCCTCGCTACATACTGCAAGATGATGATTCAAAGGAGCGGCGGCAAGGAGCTTGGCGGTGCGTAGAAGGCGTGTGTCGCCAAACCCACGCACATAACATCTGGTCCTATCAGCGTCCACAGCCACATGATCACGGCCAACATAACCGTGGCGGTGCGTCCTTTGCCTCATCTCTAACGGGCGACCATGCGCAGCTCAACGCGCGCCTCTCAACGACGCAGCACGCGCGACCTCGCGTTTGAGTTTGAGCTTGACCGCGACGGCGTCATGCACTTCACCTTGCGCGTCCCGCCATAGTAAACATTGCGCACCTGGATCCGTAGCCAATCAGACATGACTATTGCTCGGTGATCACGGGCCAAAAAGAAGGGCCGGGCATCTGCTGCCGCGTACTCGACGCACTCCAAGGGTACACTGTATCTCTACCATGTACAAAGCTTCGACTGCTTCGACGAGAGCTCAGTAGTAGTGTGCTCTAGCTCGCCGTACCAAGGAGGCAGAGGCGTAGTGTAGATGCAGGGACCGTGCTGTGGTCGGTCGCGAGCGAGCACCCAATGTAGCATTCTGAAGTGATTAGTAGAGCTGCGGTGACGGTACCCTGTCGCCTTCTTCTTTTTGGCGTCTAACAATGTCGTATGGTGTCGAAACCTCTGAAAACGAATACCAACGCGCATACACGGATCTGCTGCTGTGCGTGTCGCGTGCGTAGCCGCTAAGAGCAACCGGCGACGTCACGAGCGCCCTTTCTGCCACAGTCTCGAGTAGAGGATGCGCCAAAATTCGTGTATCTCAAGTAGCCACGTCCACTCGAGAGTCGTACACGGCCTCAATGATTGGTCATGCGACCGCAGAAGCGTGGGCTGCGCAGCGACTCATCGCCGACGCTAGCGACAAACGTTGAAGTCGCTTGCCACTCGTCGCGGTTTGATTTCTATTTTTCTCTTTTCGGTTATTAATCACGCCACCAATCGTAGATTGGTTGTCGCCGTCTGATATGCACGGCACGCCTCCCGCCCTCATACACTGTAGCATAACAATACACTGTATTTGGAGCAGGCACGACCAAGTCGCGGATATTCTGGATAGTCGAAGCATTCGTGCGTGCTGCACGCTGCATCGACCAACTCAATGTAGCACTCTGGATGCTGGTGCACGAAAGAGAAGAACCAGGTTGAGCAACGAAGCCGAAGATTACTGTACCAGGACGGAGCCGCAAAGTATGCACGTATTTGTATGCACGCGCCCGTGCTGCGCACCACGACGTTCGATTGCAGTAGCCAGTTGACCGGACACGACGCCACCGGACGGTACGCTTCAATCCGCCAGCGACCAAAGGTGGTGCACGGCTGGTTCGTTCTCGTCGTGTCCGAACAACCTGCCCGAGTGCATGGCCTCTCGCCCGTTCGTGATTGTTCGGTGGCCTTCCTGGACCTTGCGATACGAGCTGCAATCATCGTAGACAAATCAAAACCAAACCGCAACTACGTTCTAGGAGGCTTATGCTGCCCGCTGCTGCGCGAGGAGCGTGTTCTTGAGCAGCATCGCGATCGTCATCGGTCCGACGCCACCGGGCACGGGCGTGATGGCGCCGACCACGTCCTTGGCCTCGTCATAGTCGACGTCGCCCACGAGCCGGTACCCCGCCTTCTTACTCGCGTCGTCGATCGCGTTGATGCCAACGTCAATGACGGTCGCGCCGGACTTGAGCCACGACCCCTTGACCATCTGCGCGCGGCCGCAGCACGCCACGACGATGTCCGCGTCGCGTACCGTCGCCTCGAGGTTTTCGCTCTTCGAGTGGCAGATCGTCACCGTCGCGTTGCGCCCGAGCAAAAGCAGCGACATGGGAATACCGACGATGCGCGACCGGCCAAGCACGACCGCCTTCTTGCCCTCGATCGGAACCGAGTAGCGGTCAAGGAGCTCGAGGCAGCCCGCCGGCGTGCAAGCGACGATGTACGGCAGCTTGGACTTGATCGCGAGGCTCGCGACGTTCATCGGGTGGAGGCCATCGACGTCCTTGGCCGGCACGATGCGGTTCAGGACGACCTCCTCGTTGAGGTGCGCCGGCAACGGGAGCTGCACGAGGATACCGTGCACGCTGCTATCGGCATTGAGCACGTCGATCTGCGCGAGAAGCACCTCGAAGGTCACGTCGACCGGCAGTGTGACGCTGACCGTGCGGATGCCCACCTTCTCGCACGCCTTCTTTTTCATGCGCACGTACGTGGCCGAGTCCTTGCGGTCGCCGACAAGGACAACGGCGAGGCCGGGTGCCACGTAGCCGGCGTTGGCAGCCGCGCTAGCCGCGACCTCTGCGCGGATCTCCTCAAGGATCGCGTCGCCGACCGCCTTGCCGTCAATCACCGTCGCCATCTTGTTGGTTTTTCGGAATATGAGAATGTGGTCCACGCGGCCAGGATATGCTTTCCGCATACGAGCGTTGTATCCGGCAATGAGATCTGAGACGTGCATTCTACATTTTACATGCAAAAAACATCTAAATACTAGTATGCGATTTATTAACCTTACGAAAATGTAAATAAAAAAGCAACTTCAAGCCTTCTTTCCACGCCTCAGACGTGGCACGCTGATGATGCATCCAACACATCACTGGCAACCATGATGATGCATCGCATGGTCAAATGGACGGCGGTGGAGCTCGCTTGCTGCCTGAATGGCTGCGGTGATGCGGCCGAGACGTTACGCATCCGAGGCCCACTCGTAGCGCAGACCGGGTGACCACCGAACCGACGTCCGACGTTGAAGCTCACCCCTTCGCGGAACGTTCGTTCAAGCCACGTTTGCGCATGGATCTCGTGTTGAGCTTATAGATACTTGTATACAAAACGACACAACATTCACTGGCGACGATCGCACTAGGGCTCCATCGTAGTCGGTGCCGGCGGGGCGCCGCGGGGGGTAAACATCGAGGACCCCACCGAGTCCATGGTCGGGCGCGTAAGAATCGATTGAAACTCGCGCGCGTCCGTGAACGAGTCGCCGTCGCGCGCGATGAAGAAGCCGTTGGTTGACTGCGCCGTCGACGCGCAGGCCGTGCCCGTCGAGCCGTGGACCGGCGAGAGGTAGTTGGGCGACCCGTTCGAGTAGCTCATTACGCTGCGCACTGACGTTGTTGTCGCAAAGAGCGTCGACATGCTCTCCGACTCTTCACCGTGTGTGATCGTGTCGAGGCGCAGACCTGGCCGCTGAAAGCCCGTGGGAAGAGCGTGCACGGACGACTCGCGGACGTCTGGCGTCTGGACACTGGACCGCCGCCGCCCCGGCATGTAGAAGAGCACGCCCGAGACGCGCGAGGTTTCCTGCGCCTCGTACGTCGGCAGCGGCGGGCTCGCGACATTCATCATCTCATCCGGCTTGGGTGTCTCGAGCGTCGACTGGCGGCGCCGGTGTAAAAGGAACGCCAGCACAATGAAAGCGCACCCGCCGACGCCAATGGCAACGCCCACGAGTATCGCCGTCGTCGTTGGCATACCGCCGCTGGACTCTGTCGCAGCTGTCGGCGCCGTGGGCGTAAGCACGCTGTTTTCAACGATCGTCTTGTGTGGTACTTGGATCGTCGTGGCGTTCGATGGCGGCGATGTCTTGGTCGCGTTGACTAAGGTCGCGATGAGCGTGTCGAGCAAGTTCGCGTCACTCGGAGACAGCGTTGACGGCGGCTCGGTCATGAGCTGGATACGCGCCGTTGCATTGATGCTGCCGTCCGTGCGGAGCATGGAACCGGTGTCACTGGCGGCAACGAGGGTGACGAGAAGCACCGCAAAGACCCATAGACACGACGGCATTATAAGGGCAATATGAAAAGTGAGCTGTGAGCTGCGACCAATACACTCACTTCATAGGGCACAGTGCAATATTTGTTGGCGTCTGGATGACGGTTCGATGCGCTGGATTCTTCGCTTCCATCACATGGCTGCGTGATGCGTGCATACGTCCATCTCGCGTCTCGTGGCGCCACGTCATGATAGCCAGTTGCCCATCGAAGCTTTCGAAGTCGTGCGAGCAGGAAATATTCAATTTGCAAACGCGACTCGGCTGATCCACCAACGCCGGATGGTGCGTGAAGGTCATCGCGACGATGGCTGTCGGTGCCGGAAGCAGTGCGGTTTTGCGGAAGTTGGCATATCGAAGCGAATCGAAGGGAACCGAACGAGTGCCATTGCCACTTGGTCCCAGCCGCCCGACATGCACCGATACGTACTTGTTGTATACCGCGTGTAGCTGCCGTGTACTGCGAATACAGGATTTAAACAACGACAGATCGTATTAATAGCGCAAAATCAGATACAAAGGTACAAATGAGCCGTTGTTCTCCTTTTGGCGTGTTTCGTTGGCGACTTTCACCGGGTTCGATTCTTCCCTTCGTGACTTATTTCACTGAGCCTCGACGATAATTTGGCTCGGATGATGGCTCGACATGCGCAATTGGCATTGAGTCAAAATGGGCTGATGTCCACCGGTAGACCACCAAAAATGCCGCTTGTCGAAACAGCAGGGGGAGTGGCGCCACAGACGAATAAGGGCTGTGCTGGATGCCATCTTACTTATCCAAGGCTTTAGGGGATGCATCATTCGTATCGGAAACCTGGCGCGACGCCTCATCATCGGCAGGGGTGACCCTTGTCAGCGGTTACAAGAAGAGCATCCTGAGACGAAGTTTACTTTTGATCTTGTTGTGTCTGGTTTGGTCAAGCCATGCCAGGCCTATGCAAGCGTGTATCGCTGGAGAGTTATGACTCCAGGAAGCGAGGAGTCTAGTCTGGGTAGCTTGTGTGCGTGGTGTAGATAGGATAGTGCTAGGTGCCATACACTGGGTGCCATATACGGATGATGTCCGGTAGCGACCCTATACGGTAGTGACCCATCATAGAGCCTCTTGACGATGGCTTCATCCGGCACAGCCTATCGTTCTATCCACAACGCTGGGCTCCATAGTCTCAGTTCACAATCTGACTTCGTGGCGTAACACAATACAATGCCTGCTTCCTGGGAGATGTATCTCCCCTCGCTGCGTTGTTTGCGTTGCACCGTGGAAGCCACCACAATCTCAAAGGCCCAAGGTCGGGCGGAAGGGCAGGCCAAAGCCATTTTGTTCGAGCTCCGACCACCCAGCCTCGGCCATCCGAGGCCATGGCAGGGTCCCCACTAGATCTTATCAGCGCAACTGCTTCGTCATCACAACCGTCGCTTATACAGCAATCGTCCATGCACAGACATGCTGCTATCATTTGAAGCCGAGAACAGTCCGAACTTCCCTGCGGCTTCTACAGTGTACTGGAAGCCAGCTCTGGAAGCCCTTGCTGGCAAGTGAAATGCAGAGTCTAATTTCCAGGCCATTCAAGGGTCTGATAGTATCGATCCCCCTCTGTGCAAAGTATGATAGCAACGTCGTGCGAATCCAGAATTTGGATTTACGACCAGAGAATATTGGCGCGCATCGGCGGAATCCAGCCAAAACAAAAGTGATTTTTGTGTTTCGTGGCAGGTTTGAGAGCTGTGAGCGGATGTACGAACCCAAGCTTATGTGCTATGCGAATATATCTTGGTGAAGGCCTGATATACACTGCCAAAGCTACTGAGTTCGAGTCACAATGTGCGAGGGAGCTGCTGTGGCGCCAGTCGTTCTCCTGCGTTGCACTGTCGCTTCGAAGTTCATTCGAGCGCCCGTCGCGTCTTCCTGTAATTTGAAGTTTTGCACTAGAAAATTACCGTGAAATATAATTTGACCAATAAGAACCCTGACTTTATAAGGGTTCTAGCCAATCCAGCTGGCGCATTTGCCAAATACGGGATTTTGTCTGAAAAGTGCGGGCTGTGAAAATTTGTTAATGAACTACGAACTTCGCCTGCCGTTAACACTGCGATGCCATTGGCTGGCGCCGTTGGATCGCAACTGGCACGATCATTCCGCAATTTCGTCCATTGACATGAACCGCGTCCTGGCCGCCGACGGCGCGTCCGCGCCGCTGACGATCGAGCGCGTCCTGCTCTGCACGCTGCTGCTCATCCTCTTCGTCGTCATCCTCGAGGCCGGCCTGCACAAGCTCACGCACGCCTGCAAGCGCCACCACAAGTACTACGAGATGCTCAACAAGACCACCGGCGGTACACAACACCAATGCATATAAGCACATCTCAGCGTGCCGCTGCGTAGAGCTCATGATTGTCGGTCTCATCTACGTGCTCGTAAAAGCCACAACGTACGTTGGCGCCATCCAGTCGTACGGCGTCGAGTACTACTCGATGGACGCGGCCGACATGCTCATCTTCTTCGTGGCGCTCTTCCTCGTTGCGCAGTCGCTCGTCATCTTTACGCGACTCCGGTCGTCCAACTCGAAGATGGATTCGCTCTCGATCACGACCGCGTCTGGTTTGCTGCACATGGCCAAGGAGACGGAGGACGTCATGGCGGCCGAGCGCGCGTGGTGGTGCCGGCGGCGCCGCGCCACCGGTCGCCTCCACCGGCTCTGCGAGCACAAGCTTCTCGAAGCGTTCTTCCGCGAGTCGTATGAGCTTCCGAGCGCGTTCTCGTTCGCCAAGTACATTCGCGAGATCCAGGACAGCCAGATTGTGGATCTGATCGAGATTGACTTTACCACCTGGACACTGCTCCTCGTGCTCATGGCGTCCTTCTTTGGCTGCACGGGCGAGCTCCAAGCGCACAGCGTGTACCGCAACCACTTCCATGTCGACTCGGACGAGTACATCGCCGCCGAAGAGCTTGAACACAAGCGGTTTGTGGTCTTTGGCGTCTTTGCGTCGACGTTGACGATCGCGATGACGCTCATGCTCTTGTACCTCCGCCGGCTCAACCACGCGCTCGTTCTGCACGCGCAGACCAAGGCGCTCGGCTTGTCCGCCGACCCCGAAGGCTACGCGACCTCGCGCAAGGCGACCCGCGAGTCGCTCCTCGAGGCCATTCGCGCTCTCTCGATCAGCGAGAGCAACCAGCCGCCCCTTACGTCCAACGAGGCCATCACCCAGATGCGCATCGTCTCGGAAAAGGTGCAGAAGGGCGTCAAGCACCGCCACGGCTTCCTGGCGCACAACCTGCTCGTGCAGCTCCTCTTGACGTGCTTCCGCTTCGTGACGTGCGCGCGTCACGCCAAGAGCGCCAACACGCTCCACGCCAAGAACGCCGACTTGCGCCTCCCGCTGCCCTTTTCGCGCAAAGCGGCGCAGTTTTTTCTGCATTTTTTCCTCATCGTCAACGGGTTGTACTATGGCATGCTCCTCACGTGCGTGGTCCCCGCGCTCCACGGAACCTCGCCGCTCATTTTGCTGCCGCTCGTGGCGCCCTTGCTTCTCAACACGTTTGTGCTGGCGCCGCGCCTCGTGCGCCACTTTGCGCTCCTCGACGGCGCGTGGCAGGTGGACCCGACCAAGCTCTCGCGGGTCATCGACCATCTGAGCGAAGTCGAGGAGCTCAAGGGCGCAATGGTCGAGCAGATCAACAAGTACCTCGCCGACACCAACCAAGACACGAACGACATCAAGGCCGCGCTCCTCAAGCTCGACGCGGACGACGGCGTGCGCGACGGCTACGTGGACATTGACGCCTTCCGGAGCACGCTCAACACGTTTGGCTTCAAGTTTTCGCGCCACAAGTTCCACACGCTCGTGCTTCTCGAGTACGAGACCCGCGGCCCGACCGTCAAGTACGAAGGCCTCTTGAACGCGCTCACGAAGCAGCCCGAGGTCACCGTGGTCTAGCTACCTCCTTGATATATTGCCACCTTGCTATACATGTCCTTATATACGAGTTGCCACCCGTCCCTGAGCGAAGTGCCATGGTGGGATCAAAAACCAAAACTGTGTACTTGGAAGAAGACCTATGGAAGATGTCGAAGCAAATGTCGAAATAACCCTTGGACAGTAAAATCTGTGCAAAGTTTAGTTAATAGCACCGTACTAAACCAACAGACAACTATTGTTTTGGAGACAAAGCAAAACAATGTTCGAACTCGTGCAATAACTAAACGAGACTACTGCAACACGGCGGGGCTCTCAATGCTGGTTGTGTCAATCGAGTCTCGGCGGTACAGCTGCGTGTACACCAAGTAGACGGACGCACCCTGAATAAAGGCGCCTACAAAGAGGAAGACGACGCAAGCGTACGCGCCGGCGCAGCTCGAGATGGTGCAGTACGTGAACGCCCGGCTCGCAATGAGCCAGATCGCGGCGAGGAAGAGGAGGAGCCCAAAGCCGCCGTCGATGGCGCCTTTTGTGCGCAGCTCGAGCAAGATGGTCTTCTGGCGCAGCACAAAGACGACGTAAAAGGCCGTGTAGAGCAGCAGCGTGTACGAGAGGAGGAAGGCAAAGTCACCGCTGGCGATGCCTGTCACCACCGTGCTCGTGGCAAAGGTCGTGAGCGCGCAGAGGCCCATGGCCCCGCGCAGGAGCAGCTCGAGGTGGTTCTTATTGCGCAGAACCGCGTCCATATTGTACTCGTAGTGCTCTGAGGAATGACCAGCCTGCCGACGACGACGACGATCGCCTGTCTGCCCCGGATCCGCAGTTCGAAGTGGGTGACAACCAAACTTCGAAGAAACAATATCGAGTTTCACGGTGACGACATGGAATGTAAGAGGAGGTACCCACTTTTGGCACGCGCAACTGGATCTCGGGGTAAAACTGGTTTGTCCCACAAGGCGTGGACAACGACCAGGCGACGGTGGAAGAGGAGCGGCATCGCTGAGCAAAGCGCCTGCAGGCCATGGGAACTCGTGAAGTATATATTCCCTTAGTGTACTAGAAGCCAACGGTACTGCAAGGTGCTTTTAGCGGGTACCGTAGAGAACCAACTTGGTCCCACCTCGTCGGGATCAGCTCTGTCGTTGACCTCGTGCGATCTGACTCTTCGCGCTCGTGCGTAACGCATTACCGTATAAAACCTCATTCGCCTCGAGCTATTCTCCTTCCCTTGTACAAGCATGGCAGCAGCTAGCACCGCGTGCGTCTCGCCCTTGATCATAGGGTCATGAGCATGCATCGGCGAGTTCTCTCGGGAGAGATCACGGTTTTCTTTTGGGACAAAATAGGGTGCAGGTAAAACCCTCTTTTGTCACGACCAACACTGGTGGCATCCCGAGCAAGCGGTTTGCGTTTTTGCGTCGGTCGACCAGCGTCGGCGTCGTCTTAGTTAGTTGCGTCGTAGTACTACGGTCCCGATCTTAGTTGGATGAGCGGGTCGACTAAACGAGCCGTGTGCACCTTCCACCTGCAGAACGCGTGCAGCAAGGGCTCGTCCTGCCGCTTCGAGCACTCGGCGCGGCCGCCATGCAAGTTCTTCCGCGACGGCAAGTGCTCCATGGGCGCTGCCTGCCGCTTCGCCCACAGCAGCGCCGGGTCCGAGCCGTCCATCGTCGCGTGCTCGCTGCCAATGGACCAGCGCACCGACAACAACTCTGCGCCCCATCCGTCGAGCGTCAAGTCGACGCACAATCAGTCGAGCATCCAGTCGCAGCCCAACCAGTCGAGCAGCGTCGTCTCGCAGCCCAAGTCGGACTCGAACCGGATCATGACGGGTCAAATCAATGGCCACGCGTTCGAGGTCGAGATCCTCGACCCTGCTAACGTCCCGAGCTTTGCGCGCCGCGACTACGACGAAGAGACCGACTACTCGTACGTCGAGCCCGACTCGATTGACGACGGCCCAACTGAGTACGACACGTTCGTCTCGGCGCGCAACCAGTTCCAGGAGCAGCTCGACGACCTCGCGCGCAAGATGGCCGCGCTCACGGACGACGGCGACGAGACCGACTCGAGCACCCTTCAGCATCGGCCGTCCTTCGAGCACTGCGACTACTCGGACATCCAGCCGGCCGCGCCGCCGTGCGTGCAACACACTCTAATAGGCGCGTTATGGCTTCTTCGTAGGAAGCAATGCAAGTTCCATCTGCAAGGCGCGTGCCGCTTTGGCGACGCCTGCATCTACTCGCACGCCCGCGGCCTCTCGTCGGACGAAGGACTGCTCATGGACAAGGTATGTCCCATGTCCTCCGCCTACTCATCTGTCGTTGCAGGAGCTGCATGCATCACAAGACGTCGAGTGCAACATCTGCATGGACCTTGTTCTCCGCGCCGGCGAGCGCTTTGGCCTGCTGCCCAACTGCTTCCACGCCTTTTGCCTCAAGTGCATTCGGGACAAGGACCGGGACGTGGTACTCTCGAGGAATCGAGTTCTCCGTCTTATGCGCGCTGTAGCTGCGGCAATGCCCCGTCTGCGCCGCCGACGCCCCGTTCATCGTTCCCTGCAACCGGTTCATCGCGGACCCGTCACGGAAACAACAAATCCTGGCCGACTACAAGGTTGCAACTCTATTTCACCCTGTGTTTACTTACGATGGCACAGGCCAACCTCGCGACGATCCCGTGTCGCCACTTCAACCTCGGCCGGTGCGCTCCTTTTCGCTGATGGACCCGAAAATTCACGACAAAATAGGGGCAAATGTCCGTTTGGGCATGGCTGCTTTTACGAACACCGGTTCCCGGACGGTAGGCTCGCGGTGCGCAGTGGCCTCGAGAAGCCGCCGCTCGGCCGACGCCTCCAGAGTGCATGATCCTTCACTAGCCAATCGTAAAACAAAAATACTCTTAACGGCGTGTGTTATGCCTCCATGCCGTGCTGCCGCCCGCCCTCGATGGCTTTGGTCCAGCGCTTGTGCCGCACGCCCGACCGCAGCTTCTTCCACGCCTTGGCGTCCTGCGCAAACTCGATGCGGAGCTGCGCGCGCTTGATCGACTCGGCCGAGGCGACGGCGGCCCACGCCTGGAAGGCCTCCCGCCGTCGGCGCCAGTCGTCCGTCGTCGCTCGCCAAATGCGAAACGCGTCGACGCGCCGGTGTCGAAGCGCCCGCATCTGAATGCTGCGGAACTGGACGCGCCGGAGGGTGTTGGTCATCCATTCGACAAAGTAATTGAGCAGCAGCGCGCGCGGCGACAGCAACGACGGCAGTGGCGGCGTCAGAACGACTGCTGGTACTGCCACGTCATCAAACTCCTCGCTCATATAGTACGCGGTGGTTTCCTCCGACGCCAAGGACGCCGGACATGTCGGCAACGGGATGACCAAAGCGACGGGGACGTCTTCGTCGGCGGCTTCGAGGGGCTGGAGATAGGATGCATCTGCCGACGTGGTGCGGTAGACGCGAAGAACCCACTTGGCAATGAACCGCCCGGCGGCCCGCGTGCGCAAGTGCTTGTCGATGGCTTCTTGGATGCACTGGACGACGACGCCACCCATGAGCTGCGCCGTGCGCTCACGGAGAAGCCGCATTTTCCGTTGCTTCTCGCGGTACTCGAGCCATTTTGACTGGATAGCGACGGCGGCTCGGTGGCGACGGCGCCAGCACCGCTTGCGTCGCCGCCAAAACGTAGCGAGGATACTGGCGGCTGTGTGGTGTCGTCTCTGGAGCTGACGGTGCAGATGGCACCGCCATGCGTGCTGGAGCGTCGTTGCTGCCGACTGCCGGTGCTGAAGGAGACACCAACGCCGGTGGTCGAGGCTGCGTCGACGGTGACGCGCCGACAGCGTTGACGGCGCTGCTTCCACCAACAGCATATCGAGGCGAGGTACGACGTTGACAACGAGGTCTCCAGGCGCAGGCGACTGCAGCGGCGCGTCGGGGGCGGCGGCGCATTCGAATTCGAGCAGACAGGTAGCCAGCGTTCCTGGCGCCAGCAGCGCATGCGATACGGACCGTCCTGCTCGCACTAACGGAGCTTGAGGCCTTGCGCGCACGTCGGCCATCGAGGCCAGTCGTTTTGACGGCTTTGCCCCTAATCGCGCCTTGGCACTCGGGCGTACGTGGTCCATCAACGGCGTTGGTGACCGTTCCGTAGCCGGCGGTGACGCCGGTGGACTCGCTGCTGGCTCGGGTAGGTCGATACTCGCTGCTGGCTCGGGTAGGTCGATACTCGTTGCTGCTGGAGCTGTGGCGGTCGTGGCTGGGGCCGTGCTGGTTGTTGCTGAAACCAAAATGGTTGCTGCCTTGGTCACAGAGTGCTTGGTTCGCACTGTTGATGCGAGGTGATGTTGCTTGGCTGGTTTCTTCACAGGCGACGTTGTCGTTCGTGCTACTTTCGGGGACTTGAGCGGCTCGAGTCTCTTTTTTCTTTTGCGTTTTGTGGTGGGAGATACAGACATTGTCGGCTCCGGACTCGGTTCCACGCGGTGCACCTCGGTTGTTGGCTCGTCGACAGTGACGTCGTCATCCAATGCCACGAGCGCCCGCAGCGTCTGGAGCCGCCCAGTGATGCTCCGGAGCACATCGTCGTCGTCTTCTGTCGGAATGATCTCGACGATATCCGCCGCAGACTCGAGAGGCTCCGGCGTCGGAGCTCTCAGAGCCGCCTTTGGGGTCGCTAGTACCGGCGTTGCCAGGGCCCATGACGGCTCAACGTCTCGTCTGTCATCTACAGTTTTCGCTTTCGGCTGCTCATTGCCCGTGGCTTCATCAAGCACACGCAGCTGCGTCTGAAGCTGCCCGGCGGCGGTCGTCACGTCGTTGCAGAGCTCAAAAATGCGCTGAAGCTCCGACATGGAGCTGCTCGTGTCCACGCGGCGGCGACGTCGAGCAGCCGACGGCGGCGAGGTCTTGGCTGGTTCCGCCTCGACCTTGGTCTCTGTGGAGGGCGGTGGTCGGTGCTTGGAACGCCTTGTGCGAAGCGTTGGCGCCTCGGCCTCGGCGCTCTCGCTGACGTTCCACTGCAGCGGCGCGACGGTGCGCATCGGCGTCAGCGCGTCGACCAGAATTTCTTCGCGCACAATGTGTACCATCGCACGGACTACCCGCGTCGCCAGCACCGGGTCGACGACGCTGGCATCCTCACCGAACCGGACGCGGCGCACGATGCAGGAGACCATGTCGTCCGAGAGCTCGTCGCTGCTCGCGAGGCGCCGAAGCTGCGGCGCGGTGAGGTTGAGCGACGTAAAGAACGGGTTGCTGCACAGACTCGAGAGCCCGAGAATGCTGTCGGCCAAAACGCTGTCCAAAAAGTCGGTATCGGACCGGACCTACGCGCAGTGTAAGTACAAAGTGCTCAAACTCAATGAAATAAATTGACCTTGAGAAGGTAGTTGGCGCCATGCCAGAGGTAGCGCCGACCGCTGTCGGTCGCGGCGCGCTGCCACGTGGCGATGGCCTCGACGACCGCGAGCGTGCACAGGCGCAGCAGCGGCAAGAAGGACAAGAGCAGCGCGGCGTCCACTGCGTGGTGCTGCACCGTCTCGAGAAGCTCCGAGATGCACTCTTCGCGCTGCAAGATGTGCTGCAGGATCGCGAGCTTGACGTGCGAGGTGCCTTGGTCGTCCGTCGGTGGCGTCGGTCGCGCCGCCTTGGCCGACGACGGCCGGACGCGCTTCGTTTTGAGAATCTGAGCCAGAGACCTTAGACAAGGTAGGCTGAAGATCATGGGTTGTCGCACCTTGGTACCGAGCTCCATCCTACGCGGGCGATGTTGGCATCGCGTATATTATGGCCGTCAATATGTATTTTTAGCGCCATTCAAGTCCACAGACAAATATGATATCGTCTACAATCTACACAACTTGTCCAACCTTCTACATACTAGTTAAAGCACGTCCTCCATCGCTGCGGCTGACGCAGTGGTTCATGGCTGCCACGGCAAGGTGCCGACGTTGGAGCAAGATACCAGAATCGCCGCTTTGGATTGGCCTATATCCAGCCAATCATCGTCGCCGATGACGGCCGCGCAATTCGACTTTGGCTGGCGCGATGCACAAATGGCTGGGCATCGTCCACTCGGACTCGGAGGCCGAGAGCTCCGACTCGGACTCGGACCTCTTTGACGCAGCGGACAACAGCGCGCAGCGGGCGCGGGCCAAAGCCTACGCCGACGACATTGCCAGCCGACGCTGGGGCCTCTCGCACCGCGACCGCGCCGGCCTCGCCGAAGGCCAGCTCGCGCTCACGCCCACGATCGCCGTCGCGTTCGCCGAAGAACTCGGACAGCAGCGCCGCGTGTGGGACTGCGCACTCGTTCTCTCCAAGTTCCTCACGAACTCTGCGTACTTTGCGCCGGTATGGCGTCCATCGTAATGGTCATCGCCATATCGCTAAGAACGGAGATAGGACTACTTTGCGGGCAAGCGCGTCATCGAGCTCGGCTGCGGCATTGGCGTCCCGGGCATCTCGGCCGCGCTCCTGGGTGCCTCCGACGTCGTTCTTACCGACATGGTGCGCTTTCAAGCGGTTTAAAGACGGCTCTTATCTCGCGTTGTAGGCCGTCGCGCTGCCGTGGATCAACGTCAACATTGCGAAGAACCGCGTTGAGCACATTGCACGAGCCGAGACGCTGCTCTGGGGTCCGTCGCCAAGCGCGTCGCTCGGCGCGTTTGACGTGATCTTGTGCTCCGACTTGATCTACGGCGACGAAGAGCTCTCGCAGCTGCTCGTGGCGACGATCCGCGCTCTCTCGCACGCCACCACCGTCGTCGTCTCGGCGTACGAAGCGCGCGCCGCGGGAAACCAAGGCGCGCACTTCCTCGCTGCCATCGCCGCGTCGCACGACGTCGAGCGAGTGCCCCACGATGCGCTCGACGCCGTGTACCAGTCGGCGAATCTCCACGTGCAGCTCCTCCGGCCACGCGCATAACTCCAACGATAACCGAATCCAGCGCACGGTTGCTATACCATTGATTACAAAGAAATTGGATCTATGATGAGGACGACGCCGCGTCACGCTCGAGTTGCGGCAGCGCCATCATCATGAGGACGTTCTGCCGACTGTGCCGGCGATTGGTTTTCATGTGGCGGTCGAACGGCTTGGTGCGGCCGTACTCTTCGCTCTCGGCGGTCGCCACGACGGGCAGCGGCGGCGTCTCAATGTCCTTCTTGTCCGAGTCGATGCCGAGTACGATGCTCGTATCGCGCTCGCTCGCGCACTCGACTTGGCAGCGCGCGTCCTTGACGTCCTGGATGGCCGGCAGCGGCCCTCGGATGCGGCTCATGGCCATCGGGTCGGCCGTCAAGTCCCACGTCACGTCGGCGGCATTTGGCACTTGCACGACGTAGTTGACCCAGCGCACGTCCCGGTACGTCTGTCGACAGAGGCCTTTGGACGTGGTGAGATACGCTGGCGTCTTGTGCGGCAGTCGCGAGACCTTGCCTTCTTCGCGCTCGCCCTACGCTCCGTCGTAAAATGAGAACGGGATAAGTCATTCATGAAACGCGACCTCGTGCACGGCCGTGTCGGCGTGGTCGAGACCCGAGAGCAGAGCTTCGATCAGGCCAGGCTCCATCGTGGCCGAGTCTTCGGCCGCCAACCGGTGCAGCGTCACCGAGCACGTCTGGTTGATAAATCGATACGTTGGATTCTACTGCATTGTCTGAGCGACTACAGTCTCCGCGCCACATACCGCGCCGAACCGTCCGTGGATATCGAGGAGCACTTGAAGTACCCCGAGGTCGAGCAGTCCTTGGCGCAGGCGCTTGAGCTTGGTCAAGTTGGCGACGGCCACGCAGACCTCAGCGCACATGCGGGCATACCGCGCCTCGTCCGCATCCGCTGCGAACGCGTGCAGCATGGCCGTGAGCCATCCGAGGCCGTTCATGAGCTGGCTGGAGGCGGCCGCGTTCTCCGCCGGCGTGAGTGGCGCGTTGGGGTGGCGGTGCACGTGCTGCAGCAGCACTTGGTGGTGGTGATGGTGAGGATGATGATGGTGCAGCGCGTCGGCAACAGTGGCGCTCAGAGACAAATTGCGCAAGAGCACGGTTGCGCAGAGGTAGAGCTCTGCAAACGCCACTGGCGTCGGCGGCAGCGGTCGCGCGGTTTCCATGAGCGTGTGCACCGCCGAGACAACGTTGCTGGCAAAGAGGATGTGGTGGCTGCCGACGTGCGACGAGAGGTGACCAAGGCACGCGAGGCAGTCGAGGACCAGCGACGACGTGGGCAAACTGCCCGCGCAGAGCACCAGACACAGCTCCACCGCGCGCTGGCTCGCAACGAGACCGACACCCTCGGGCTTTTGACTCAAGACACGGCAAGTGGCCGCCGCCACGGCACTTAGCTCGATCTTGGACCAAAAGGCGGCAGGTAGCAACTGCCAGCGCGCCACAACCTACAATATGGTAGAATAAGAAGGCTGGTGGTGGAGATACCTGCGTCTGGAGCAGGTGCAGGGCGAGCGTATCGTCGAGTGCGAGGTTGTGGAGTGTCTTGAGTATCGCGATGGCAGTCTCGGTCTCGAGGTGCGGCGTGTGGAGAACGATGAGGAGCGCGTCGGCGACATTGAGCTGCTGAAACAAATGCACGAGCTCCGTCACGAGCGAGCAGTTGCCGAGGGCTTGAGCGGCGAGCCGCCGGACGGTCTCGTGGCCCGACGTCATAAAGACCAAGAGCAAGCTCAGCAGGTTCCGCGTGCACATCTAGCACCAGTGATACGTCAGGCAAGAGTCAACCAGTGACCGTACCACTTCGGCGTTGCCCAAGTGCAAGGTGAGGTTGCGCACCGTCATGGCCGCGCTCGCGCGCGTCTCCACGTCGCCGTCGCAGAGCGCTCGCAAGATGTCGACGACCTGCGCGTTGGTGATGAGCTCCTTGTGGTTGGCTTCGCGAGCGCTGAGGTTGCAGAGGAGCCCGACCGCGTACCTACTTCGCCTAAGCGCTTGGCGCGTAGCAGTGACAGTGTACCGGCGGCTGTCGACGTTGAGGAAGTGCAGCATGCGCTTCCGTCGCCCGCTCACCCCCGTGAAGAGGAAGGGCGTCACGCCGAGCTTGAGCAGCGTCTCGTGGTGGCCCGCGTGGTCGCTGAGGTTGAAGAGTGCGTGCAGACAGAGCGAGAGCGTCTCCTCGAGGCCGCTGAGCCCGTTGGTCTGCAGCTGCGCGAGCTTTAGGAACGAGTAGAGCACGCCTTCCTCGATCACTTGATGCTACGTCCCATGAGGAAACTATCGAGTTGATGCATCGGACCCGCGACGTCGGGTGGGACAAGAGGTTGTAGAGCGTCTTGGCATGCACCTGAATAGCGTCGCTCGAGTTGGAGCGCAAGAGCGCGACAACGACAAAGTCCTTGAGCTCCTCCGCGCTCCATATGCACCTAGAGACGCGTCATCGACCCGATTCGTCAAAAGCGGGCGAGAGACCCTGCGATGGCCACGTTGCAGGCTGCGATCGCCGCGTTCTGCTGACACACGGACGCGCGCCCGAGCTTATTGAGGGCATGCGCTAGCCCGTGGGTGGTGAGGAGCAGGTCGCGCCCCGCCGCCGTGAACGAGACGATCGCGAACGTCGACGCGCAGGCCATGAGCGTCGCCGGGTCTTCGCTCTCGTTGCAGGCTTCGACGAGCACTAGCCAAAGCAACGATAATGAAGGAATTTCACGCGGTAGAGATACCGGCGAGGGCTTGCGCGCTCGTGTGTTCGGACGCACACACGTGGTAGAGCGTGCTCGTGCAGAAGGCCTGCGTGCCCATGGTGTAGGTCGTCTGCGTCTGCAGTGTCGACCGGCTCAGGCGCAGAATGGCGTCTTGGATCGGCGCAGCGTAGAGGACAGCCGCCCACTCGGCTTCGATGCCGCCGTCGTCGTTGTGGAAGAGCCACAAGAGCGTGCGCGAGAGCGCAAAGAGGATACCTAGATAACACTCTTGGATAGGATAGATGACGATTATCCAAGTATACCAGCGCAATAGTACTCGATGGCGCCGTGGCTCGTGGCCATCGACGTTAAAATCACTTGCACGAGCGCGCGCACGTGGTCGGTGGACCGCACGTCGCTCGCGCAGTAGCACATGGCAGCCAAAAACCGCAATTGCGCCTACCCTCAACGTGAATCTCAACGTGAATCTCAAAGCTCAAAACAAGCAGAGTGTACGTGGACACCGTCGGCGTCGTCGTCGAACGCGTCGAGGGGCGACGCGGTGCGGGGCTTGACCGAGTGAAAGGCGTCGGAGGCCGCTGCTTTCTGGGGCAGCGGAAAGTAAAAGCCGAAGAGGAGCGCCTCCATGAGAAAGTCCATGTCCCCCAGCACCATCGCTCGCAGCCGCGCGTCAAAGGTCCAGTAGCACATGGTCTTGGCGACCGCGTAGCCGAACGCAGGCGACGCGGCCTTGTGCGCTTCGAACGAAAACGCGAGGCTCGTGTCCAGCTCCAGCGCGAAGCAGCTCTCGGGCATCTGCTGGTGGCACGCAATGTTGATCAGCGCAACTAGCGCGTCTTCCTTCAGGCTCGGGAGGTGTGGCGTCGTTGGTGGCAGCAGCAGCGCCTATAGACCGCCTTTGCAGCTGACTGGATTCTTTATGTACGTACGGTATTGAGGACAGGCACGACGTTGGAAGCGACGAGCACCTTGGTGCAGCGGGCGTTGCGCGTGAGGTTCGCGAACGTGCGAATCGTGTTGTGCGCGCACTCGTCGTTGGAGGCGGCCCACTTGAAGAGATCGACCGTGCGCTTGACGAGCGGCTCGTTTTCCGAGAGGACGATCTTGACAAACTCGTCGTTCGCTGACAAGTTCGCGAGCACGCGGCTCGCTGGCGCCAAAATGAAGTCGAAGACGTCGGCGTGCGTCGACCGCATCGACTCGTAGAGCGAGAGCAGGTACAAGGTTGCTTTGAGACTCCACGCGCCAAGCAGCAAGTGCAGGTCCAAGTACTTGGAAAAGTGACCAAGCGCGCGGGTGAGGAGGCGCGAGATGCCCATCTGCTCGTCGTGGAGAACAATGTCTTTGATCGACTGGACCGTCTGGAGCCGCGACCGGTTCCTAGCTCAACGTAGACCAGTAGTCCGTCCGTTTTGCGTACTGGAGGTGCACGTGCGGTGCGTGCACGAGGGTGTAGAGGAGCTCGCCGACGCTGCCTCGGACGGCGCCGGACGCACTCGACGGCTGGAGACTCATGTTGTAAATGACAGCCGCCGCGAACGGACCTGCGCTACTGTGAAGACAACTCGTTCACTAGTATTTGGTCCACCGTGCTTGGGGTCTTGGACGAGCTGGGAGAGCGCGAGGATGACGCCGAGATTCGTGTGCGCGTTGGAGCCGCCGCCCGCAAAGAGCTTTTCGGGAAACTCACAGCCGTGCGCGATCATGTTGCTCAGCGCCTGGACGCAGAGCTGCTGCAGCGGCGCGTACGGCAGCGACAGCATCGTCGCGAGCTCAATGATCTGCGCAATAGTATCAATCTATCAATCTTTGCGACAGGTACCGCTTTGGACGAGTGCAGGAACTTTGCAAACGCCGGCGCAATCGAGAGCCGACAGAGCGTGAGCGCGCAGAGACACTTGACGTCGTAACTCGGCGACCACGAGATCTCGAGGACGACAGGGATGCCCTTCTTGGCGATGAACGCCCCCAACGTCTACAAATTCTTTCGTATCAAGGTATCAGGAGTCGCCAATGACCTCGTCGGCCGTCGTGGACGTGAGGTTGGCCAGCGTCGCAGCGCAGTAGTGGGCGAGGTGCGTGTCTTCGACGTCCGTGAGGTCGGCAATGTTCTACCGAATTGAAGAGTCTTTGGACAACCACCGTGTGCGCACCTGGATCGCGCCCGACTGGATGATCATGAGCTCCGAGAGCGGCTGTTTCGACAGTTTGTAGAGCGACTCGGCGCACCGGGCCCGCGCCTCGGCGTTGTGCAGGTGCTTGTACGCGTTACCGGCGCCGCTGAGACTGTTGTTGCTCAAGAGCGCGTCGGCCGTGTGCACCGTGCGCACGGCCGCGAGGAGCCAGCGCTCCTTGACGCTCGAGGTCTCGTACGCCTTTGGCGCCTTGATGCGGCTCTGGTAGATGACGCCGTCAAAATCACCGGCCGCCGTTTGCGGGCGCGACGTCGGCGGCTGCTTCTGCATCATCTTCTTGCGCGCCTTGAGGGCGCCGAGCGCCGGGTCGGTGCGCGGCAAGGCCGGGAGGCTGTTGCCACTCGAGAGCGACGATGCGACAACGCTCATCTTGGGCGAGACGAGGCCCTCGACGGTGCTGCCCCGCGTCGAGCGTGTACCCGGCGCCGCCAGCGGGACCATAGCGAGCCGGAATTAGAGTCGGTAACTGCAGTCCAAGACAGGCGAGCCTATTTCGATCCGAACCAGAGACCAGACGGGCGACCACGACAGATTCATTCAAGTGTTAGAGATGCACAAAAGCACAGCTGATAGATATAAGAGCACTACGGGGCGTGAACGACGGCGACGGACGGCAGATCGAGCTTGGCCATCCAGCGCCCGACGCTGCGGACGTCGGTCGGGACCTGCACCGCGATGACAGGACCGCCGCCGTACCAACGACGATAGAGCGCCCAGCTCTGCGGATCGATAAGCCTACATTGTCGTCAGTAGGTATGTGTACGTCAGAGACGTCGGACGCACCGCGCGTCCGTCTTGAGATGCACCGTGGCGCGAAGCCGCCCGGTTGTGGGGTCCAGGAGGCTCTGGTTGGCGACCTCGCCGGGCGCGTCATTGGACTTCTTGGCCACAAAGGTCTAATGCACGACGTGAGCTCTGGCCCATTGAAATCGATGTAGAGTTACGAGCCATGCTTCAACCCACGACGCGGCGATGACATACCACGTCTCGCCTGGCTGCGGCAGCGACTGGTGGCAGTTGCGGACGGCAACGAGCTCGGCGACAGGATCATGCTTGCGCACGACCGATGCATCGGACGAAGCAGCGGCCGGAACGCTCGACGATGCGGAGAGTACAGACGAGTTGCCCTGCGACCGCGGCGCCGTAGTTGAGGACAAGCTCACGCACACTTGGCCGTACGGCCGATCTTCGCGGAACGACGTCTGGCGCATCATGGTCGACGTGGGCGCGAGGTCAAACCACTGCTCGGCGTTCTACAGGAAGCGTCAGTGGGCATCTTGATCGTTACGAGGTACTGCGTACTTGCTCGCCAAGGAAAAAGTCGCTCGGGATCACGGCGACGCCCATCTCTTTGGACGTAAAGCCCGAGACGTGGCGCACCGCGATCTGGAGGCTCTCAATGTCGGCGACAGCATGCGCGTCCAAGGCCACGGGGCAGTGCCACAGCGGGTTGCGCGTCATCTTGGCGACCTTGGTTTTGGTCGTCGTGGTCTTGCCTCCGCGCAGGATGAGCGTGGCTTCGCACATGCAGTTGCTCGTGAGGCCGTCGCTGCCGAGCGCGACGAGGCCCTTGCCCGAGACGACGACGATGCGGAGAGGTGCAGCGTCGCCAAGCAGCGCCTGCTTCTTGGAGGGCGAGACCGCGACGCCGTCGTAGCTGGCCATCGTCGTGCTGGAAGCTGGGATTTTGTATTTTTATTGCTGCAAAAGAAATAAATTTTCCCACTTCAACCTTTTCGCTTGCGATTTGACACGGGTCGTACAGACGCAGCTGAACACAGGGGCAACGCGCCACAGAACCTGCGAGGCTCCTTGTTTTGAAGGAGTTGATCGATGCTAGGATTGGCCCTAAATGGGTTGCTTTTCCGCCAATCGCGGCGCAGTCGAGCCCAGGATCCCTTTGGCTGCAGCCAGCGACGAGCTCTCGTTGAGCTCGTAAACTTGTACATGTATGATGGTTGCAGTCGCTTTGGATACATGGATGGATATACCTTGGATAAGATAGATCAATACTGCAAGCGTGGATAGCTAGGCGTGGATCGAGTGAGTCGTGTGCCCGTTCGTCGTACCGCGACATTCAGGATCGGAGGCAGATGGCGACCACCGTGCCTTCGACAACAATCAACGAACGACGCCAATCGACGATGCGGCTCTCGGCTGCTTGGAATCGAAGCGCGAGGAAGAATGCACTGCTCATTCGCGCGCCAAGCACCAGCCGTCGTTAGGCTCATCAACTGGTTGATCACTTTTGCATGGACCTGCCACGACGCCCCGCCAAGCTGGTTGCTCTGTCCTTGATCATGGCTGCTGCTCAGAAAATTCAACGTAGTACAACCTCCTGCCGTTCTCATGGACGTTGGCCCTTCTAAATGTAGAGCTCCTTCTAGTCGACGTAGAGGACTGCACGACGACGGCTTGGTTCCGGTGGCTCGTTCCGACGTCGACGTCGCCAATGATTGGTTCGTCCCTATCCGAATAAGACCGGCGTCCGTCAAACTGCAATCTGCCCGCACGAACGATGGCATCCAAGTCCGAGGTCCTCCCGCTCGTGTCGCCCAAGCCGGAGGCGCCGGTGCACCACCACCTCCTCGGCCTCTCGCTCGTCGCGTGCTCGGCCTTCACCTTCAGCCTCATGTCCTGCGCCATCAAGTACCGTCACGACTCTTCGTCCATGCATCTCATTCTGTCTAGGTACGAGAGCTACGTCATGTCGTCGATGGAGACGGTCTTCTGGCGCTCGGGCTTTGCCTGGATCCTCATCCTCGTACGGCTTCTGCAATGAGCTTGGTTGCAAGCTTATCGTTTGCGTAGATGGCGGTCAAGTGCCAGCGCGTGAGCTTGTACGTCGCGCCCGAGTACCGCTTCTTCCTCGCGATCCGCTGCTTTGTCGGCTTCCTCTCCATGTCGCTGGGCTTTTGGACCATGTCCCAAATGGTGCTGGCCGACGCCAGCGTCATCATCTTTACGAGCCCCGTCTGGTCCTTCTTCCTCGTACGACGCTCGATATTTCGCACCATCTCAGAACTGATATGTACGTATAGGGCGCGCTCATCCTGCACGAAACCATTGACCCGGTCTCGTTTGGCTGCGCGCTTTGCTCGTTCATCGGCGTCGTCTGCGTCTCTCGGCCGTCGTTCCTCTTTGGCGAGTCGGCCGAAGAGGATGTCCATGGCTCCAAGTTTGCGGTCGTCGGCGGCCTCTGCGCAGCAGCCAGCCAAGCGCTCGTCTACGTCGTCGTGCGGGGGCTCAAGGGCCTCCACTTCATGGTCGTCATCCAGTACTTCATGCTTACGTGCACGATCGGGTCGGGTCTCTGGATGCTTCTTGTCGAGCAGGTAGAAGCAGAAGATACGATGGAGTACTCATCCGTATACGTTGTTTAGCGCATCAATGTGACGCTGACGCCGGACGTGTGGGCGGCGGCCGTGGCCACGGGCGTCCTCGGCTTTGTGGGTCAGCTCTTCATGACCAAGGGTTTCCAGCTCGAGAACGTCGGGATTGCGTCCGTCATGCGGTACCTCGACATTGTCTTTGTCTTCATCTGGGACATTACGCTTCTGCGCGAAGCCATCAACCTCTGGAGCGTCCTCGGCGCCGTCATCATTTGCTCGTGCGCGATCGTGATCGCCCTCCGCAAGGCGCACAAGCAGTAGAACTAACTTTGAATCCATGCATATTTGACGCCACCGAGTCGACCAACTGTGATGACGACGAGCTCTCGACTGATTGTGCTGGCATCACGATGAGTCCGTTGGGAGATTTGCAACAGCAGAATAGCTCCTCAGGTAGCGAGGACTCGTGGAGCCAACTTGGACAAAACTACTATCGGGTCACGAGCACGCCTCTATTGCACTACGTCTATTACTACTACGGCGCCTGCTTGGGCGCGTCGGGCACAAGGACGACAGCCGATGACACTGCGCTCTCGCTCGCAATGGGCTCTGCGGGCTCCACGACCAGCGCCACAGCCGACGAGCTTGTGTCGACAGGCTCCGGCGCCGACACGACGGCCACCGAGGAAGGCGCAACTGGCGTGGGCGCTGGGCTCGCTGGCGACGCCACGTACGCGTCGAACGAAATCTTTTGCTGCAGCACGCGGTGGGCCTCGGCCGGTGTGAGCGCGCCAATAGACGCTGCAGGAAACCCGGCTTTGGCGAGGTCGAGCTTCATCTGCGTCGTGATCATGAACGGGACCCGGACTGTCGCGTTGCCGACGTTCTTGGAGCCGTACCAGAAGCGCTCGGCCGTCTTCTGCGTGTCGTACTTGAGCTTGTTGGTCTTGTACAGGACGCGCGTCCGGAGGTTCAGCAGCCGCGTGCTCCACCGCGCCGTCATGCTGGCCACGTTTCGAGAAGTCCCAACATCCGGACAACACCGGATACTAAACGTGGCTATTCGTGGCTATTTGACGACGTATTTTTGACAAGCCATTTCGTGCCTTGTAGACCTCCAACGGCGACGCGGTGTAGCGCGTTCCGCTCTCCAAAGTCATTTCTATCGATGTGCCAAGTAGGAGCGATTTCGTAAAAAATGTTGGTTGACAGACTCCAGCTCTCCCACATCACACCATCGTGGTTTATTCGCATCTGGGATTGGCCAAAATGTTTGACAACTAGCCAATCAAAATCGTTTCCACAAGTAATTTGCGCGCGCCAATGTCTGCTGCGGTATAACTCTCACTGCCATGACTCGCGAGCTCCCCACACCATGTGTACAACAGTAAGAGAATGTGCATAACAGTGCTCGACGTATAGCTATCTGCGCAGGGCTATACGTAGCTAGTCGGCAAATGTGATGCAAGCGCAGTGCAGACGTTGGGCCATCGCATTCCACACCGCACGATTTAAGGCGCCTACTCGCTAATCTCAAACTCACAAACCGTCAGCGCGATATGGTGACGCCCGACCGCGCAGCGTAGACGTTTCCTTCTCTTTGGCTCGTCCTCGCAAACCGGGCACAACAGGCTGCATACGTCTTTGCGAGGACCGATGCTGGCAAAGTGGAAGCAACTACGAGTAGCTACTGCTAAATGTGCAGTGGAATAGTCAGGATTTGTCAATACGTCACTTGAGGGCAACGCACCTCACCTCTGTTCGCGAGCCGCCTCGAAACCGGTTATCTTTTGCCCCGTATCCGGATCAAGCCCTTGCCGGTTCTTTTTGGAAGAAAGATCAGAGCGATGATGCAGTCGACGCACCTCGAGCGGAGCGCGTCGCTGCGGACGTCGCCGACGCGCCAGGTGCAGACGGACCACGTCGTCCTCGAGGCCTTCTACAAGGCCGTCGAGCTCGTGCTCATGAGCCGCGTGCACTTTCCCGCCGGCGCCGCGCCGCGCAACACCCGCGTACGTCCGCCTGTATGCTGCTAACCCTGGCGTCATGTTGAAGGCTGTAGCTGTACTTTGACATGGTCGAGGTACCCTGCGTGCGCGAGGCCATGGCGCCCGTCAAGGCCAACGTCCACGACCCGCTCTACCTCGACATCTCGATGGGCGACACACTCCTCGAGCGCTGGCAGCTCACGTACTCGACGAGCAGCGCGCATGGCGCGACCGCACCCGGCAACTTTATCGCGCAGCTGCGCAAGGTCGTGCAGCAGCTCGCAATCTTGCTCCGGTCGCTCTTCTGCCTCGTACGCATTTTGCCGGCGTTCCACGTGAGCCAGCAGCTCAAGTTCCAGCAGGAAGATCTCGGCCATGCGCTCGTGGGCTTGAGCTACCACCTCGGCCAGAGCGAAGCGCAGATGCCACTGCAGTTTGACACGGCGACGACGAAGCAGCGGTACAGCTTCCAGCCCGTCGACACGATGTTTGGCGTCGTCATGGTCGGGGTCATGTACCGCAAGCAGACGGCAGACGTACTCGCGGCGATTGAGCAAATGGCGCCGCCATCCCCCGTCGCGAACGATGTGTCACCGACGCTCGAGCACGCCATCATCCAGGACTACGTGCCCACGACGCCGCAGACCAAGCCGGCGCCGTCCCCGCTGCTCGGTCCCGCGCGCATGGTCGTCCAGGAAGATGACATGCTTCGCCGAGGTATTATCAACAATATTCTCCATCATCAAAGTTGACAGAACGTCCCAGATGCGACACCGTACGCCACATCGCAGCCGATGGCCATTCCGCACGTCGCAACGACTGCCGGTACATTGCCGTATATGTGCAGTCGGAACATGCTGCTGCTAGTCGACGCACCGTCGTACCCGCGCCGAGACACTGCACCACCCAAGCAAGCCCACTCGCTGGATGCTCCCGAGCAGCTCCGGTACCTCCCTCCTCTTCTTAGTTACTTAGTACAAATGCTATTTTGCAGGCGCCCGTCCATGAAGCCGGTGTCGGTGCTTGAAACGATGGCCAAGGCCAGCTTCCAGACGCCACCGCTGCACCCCAACTCGGCGCCCGTCCCGATCGGAACGCCCGTGCGCGCGATGGCACCGCTCGACGGCTTTCAGCTCGACGGCAAATTCCGGCCCGGCAGCGCCGATAGCGACAAGTCGTCGTCGTCGTCGCAGCTGCCCTTCTCGGTGGCGACGGAGAAGCAGCGCTCGGCGCGAACGACACCGCCCTTCTTCTCGAGCAGCCCGCCGTTCCGAGCGCTGGCGGGCGAGGCGCCGTCAGCGTCGCCCCAGAACGTTCCGGCCACGCGGCTGCAGTTCCACCCGACCCGCGGTCTCGTCCTAGACTCTCTACGTTCTTATGGGGAACTTGACGTGCGTAGACGCCAAGCACGAGCGCCGGCGAAGCGAGTCGTTTGAAGTCGCGAGCGGCGGCAGCAGCGTGTGGGGCATTGCGCCGTCGGTGCTGGACCTCGGCTGTCTCTCGCCCCTCGAGTCGCCGCCGGTCGACGAGGCGAATTTACCGTTCGCCCTCTCGTCCTCGGCCAAGGTCGAAGTCGGCAGCTTCCTCCAGCAGCTCAAGCAAGCGCCGCCCCTCCACGTGGCGACCACCGGCCGACCGCTGGTACACAGTTATGCTCTGGATATGGATCTATGAGTGTGGTGCGTAGGCGTCGGTGGACCAGGAGCTTGCGTTCTTCCGCCAGCTGCGCGACGACATGACCCACGACCTGCAGTCGTCCTAGTCTCCGTCTCGTCTCTCTAGTCGTCGTCGCCATGTGTCTCTAATCATACTACTTCGTGTATTTTGGAGGGCTCCTAGGGGTAGTACTGCTGGAAGAACTGGCCAAGGCCGTACGTGCCACCCGTGAAGCACGAGTACGCGAACCCGAGGTACGTGCGCGGCGGCAGGTCCCAGATGTGCACGATGAGCACGGTAGTAGCCCAAGTGGCGATGCCACCGATGGCGAAGGCCCCGTAGACTTGGGCGAGCTGCGCGTCCGGCGGCAGCGCCACAAAGGCGGCGGGGACCAGCGAACAGCGCGGCGCAAAGCGCAGGAAGCGGAACGCGCAGAACTGCACGACGGCGCTCGTGGCGATGAACATGAGGAGGAAGGTCCCGAGCGCGCTGCCCTGCGCGAGCATCGTCCAGAGGAGCCACTCGAGCAGACCCATGGTTGCTGCTGGCCGCTTGTGTGAAACTGAACACTCCAGATGGCTTTTCGAGCACTGTTACCTAACAAGTTAAAAAGCACGAGGTATTGTCGGCCTCGTTCAGGCAGAGCAATGGCTTGACGAGGGCTAGACGGACGTGTCGAGCGTCGCCTGGCCATGCATGCGCATGAGAGTGTCTTCAATATGCCTGGTTGGGTGCCATTGTCTCTAGGACAATCCTTCTTACTCTAGGATCCTCGTCCTCACCTGCTGCCACGAGTGTCGAGAGCAATGACTGCCAAATACCAGACAATATCAGGACCATGATCCTCCTTCCGACATGATCCCACGATCCACCGGTCGCTCTGCTGGCACAGGCAGCCGACTGGGCGACAGACTCGATCTCATCTTCACCAGAGCGAGGAGTTTCGCCTCTGCCTACGCGTATCCGGCATCCGGATACGGCGCCGAGGGTTCCAGGTGTCCATTTGCAACACAAAGCCGGTGCGATTAGCCTCCTCATGGCGGCCCATGACGGCGCGACCTCGGACGACGGGGCGAAGGAGCGCAAGCGGCAGCACCACCACGGCGCCTCCTCCATCCAGTCCAAGATCCCTCGCCTCTTCAAGCCATCGGCGCCCGGCAGCGCCAAGAAGGCCAAGGCGGCGTCGCGCATCCCGCGCATGGCCTCGGGCATCCCGCGGCGACGGCTACTCGAGGCCGTGAGCTGCGACTCGTCGAGCGATGGCACCGTGAGCGAGTGCCCAACCATCAGCTCCATGACCGAGTCGCAGGTCGACGACGACCCGATCTCGTTCGTCGCGACCTTGCGCGAGATGGACATTGCGCGTTGCCTCCAGGAAGACCTCGTGCGCGACAACGCCAAGCTCAAGCAGCAAGCCGAGTTCATTCACTCGGAGATCGGGTACCTTTACGAGCTCCTCACGCAGATTGAGGCGGCCGTGCAGACGAGCGCGCGGTCGCGGCGAGCCCACCAGGCCATCCTCGACATCATCGCGGCCCCGATGCCCAGCAGCCTCGACCGACCGGATGTGCCGGACGACGCAACGTTTTGATTTACGACTCTTTTTCAACTTATATATTAGTGCGCTAGCTTCTATTCCCCGCTTCGATCCCCGCCAGTGTTAGTAGCGGCAGTAGCAGAGGAGCCCACGACGGCAACGCGAGCAAGAGTGACACGGCCGTTAAGCCTTTCGAACATCGACCTACACCGAGGGTGGTCGTTCGTAAAGTGGCGAAGATGGAGCCACAGGACCTACACCTGACGCGGTTGAGACAAACGTAGTCGTTCGAGGCCTGCGAATGGACAACTGACAGCGTCCCAACAACAGGCTCCGGCGATCCCTCGTCGTAGATACAGACATACCCATATATTTACTGCGGCAGTTCAGATAGACCCAGCTGAGATAGATCCATGTGTACAGTGCGTGTGCGTCCACCAGTACTCGATCACTTTCATCGGGGCTGCAGTCGTGTCAGATAGAATTTGGTTGAGCTCTGGGATATCTGAGGATCAGAGTTCGACATTCGAATGTACGATGGAGCCCTGGAGCAAGCTGTCTATGGTTCATCGTACTCCAGCTGCTGCTGTTCACGAGCCAGTGATTCCGAGCTGGGCCTGGATCTTGTAGATTAGTGCGGGGAGCCGTTGTTTGGCCTCCGCCGTCGTGGGCAGGTTGCACATGACGTAGTCGACCTGTTGAGCGACGCTGATCATGCCAACGGCCGCCGAGTTGTTGATCTTGGCGAGGACGAGCCACTCGCACCACTTCTTGTTCAATTGTTGCTTGAGGAGCGCGGGCTTGGCCTTGAAGATGGTCATTTTTTTTAGGGCGGGGTCTGCGAGCTCCTCGCTGTTGACCTTGACCGTCTCCCAGTAGACGCGGGTATTCTCGAAGACCGTCTTGACCTGTGCGAGTGACCGGACAGCCACTTCGAGGGACTGGACGGCCTGGTCCTTCGCGCGGGCCACATGCATGGTCATTTCGCGCTCCTTGGCGTCCTTGTGTGCGTCGAGCTCGTCCCTCGCCTGCTCGGCTGTGTGCTTGGCAAGGTTGCTCATGTCCACGGACTTGGTGACGAGCTCGGAGGCCTTGCCTGCCATAGTGACGGCAATGTTGCGGGTCATGGCCAGCACCTCGAGCGCCTCCCCGCTCTGGTCGTCGTTCATGAGCTCGAGCGCCGTCTGGAAGTCCTGGAGGGCTTTGATGCAGCCGCGCACGAAGGAGGCACATGTGAGCTGCATGTCCTTGACCAAGGTCTGGTAGTTGCACGTGCGCATGAGCACGGCGGTGTTGCAGACGTGACCCTTGGACCCAGCAAACGCCGTGGCGAGCAGTTGCGCTACGATGGTCAAGTTGGTCATGATTTGGGCAAAGTTGACCATGTTGTAGCGGCCTTCGATGTCGGCGATAGCGGCTTGAACGGCGCGGTGCTGAAGCGCGGGCTCCAGGTCGGCAAAGCTGTAGAAGCTCGTGATAGCCATGAGGGGGTCGAAGTCGACCTTTGGGCCCCCGACGTTTATGTTGGTGAGTTGGGTGAGAGTCGAGGAAATGTAAAGTGAGGTGAGGGAATGCTCCGAGTCAAGAGCAGGCATGAACACGTCCGACTTCAAGATTTGTGGCAGGCGTCAGAGCAGCGACCATTGTGGCCAGTGGATTTAGACAACCGCGTGCAGACACAATTGTACTTGCTCACCCAAGTACACCAAATAAACACGGCGGCTATTAAATAGCCGCCGTGTTGAAAGGAAACTGGTGCAGAGCCTTCTCAGCACAGAAGGCCTTTTCGCAGCACGTCAGTCAAGTATTCTAAACGAAGGTCGGTCGAGCGCTCAGGCAGTCAACACAGGCCTAGGATGCTGCGGCACAACAACAACGTGCTAGGAACGACGCATTGGCGGAGCAAGAAGTAGCGACGAAGTCGTTGGAGGCTGCCATGGACCAAGAATGCTGCAAGATCCGGGGCTGCAAGGTACCATCCGCACCGAGCGCCAGTGCCAGAACAACCGACTCCTTGGCATCTTTCGCCATTATCTCGAAGCGAGCCATCCCCTTCAGCTCGGCATCATCTTGTCTTCATCTTGTCTTCAACAGAACGAGGAGTCTCTACGCGCTTCCATCCCCGCACGTGCAAGCTTTTTCTTCTTATTTCCTGTGGGAGAAAGCATGTTTGTGTATTTTCGTCATATTGCGCAAAAGGTCTACTTGTTGCGGCCGAGCGTGCGCTGCTTCTCGGCGTGGACGACGATCTTCTCTTCGCGCGAGAGACCCTTGCGCTTCCGGACGCCCTCGAGGAGCTTCCGGACCGCGTTGTGCTCGGCGATCGCCTCGCCATAGTCCTCGCGCTCCTCGTCCGTCGTCGGCTGGAAGAACGGGTCGTCGGGCATGACGGCCCAGTGGTCAAAGAGCAGCTGCGGGTTGCTCGCGTTGCCACTTGTGTTCTTGAGGAGCTCGGTCGCAAAGCCAAAGCTCTCGACGACCGGCAGATACGCCTCGACGCTGAAGAGCGCGCTGCCGTCCGTGAGTTCTTCGCCGACGACCCGCGCCCGGCGCTTGGCAAACACACTAATCGTTGTGATCTTATATGCAATGAGGTGGAAGAAGACGTACCTGTAGAGCTTGCCGAGCTGCTCCGACTGGCACTGCACCGTGCACTTGTACATGGCTTCGACGAGGCGGACGGGCGCGTGCAGAAACGCACTGCGGCAACCCGA